TAAAATAAAAAAGAAGAAAAAAAATAAGTTATGCACAGGCAATTTGTTGCTCAAAATAAGCCTCCCTATCACATTGTATTCCTTGGACTGTCTCTTGGGCAAAGATGAAAACTTTACAGAAGGAGAAAAAACTATATCCCCAAAATGCATGGGTCTGTGAACCCTGCATCAAATCCAGAATATAGTAGAGACGTTTATTAAATATTAATTAATTTCTTTTTTCTGAGTCAGCCTACTTTGAAGTTAGACCAAAGTAATGATTTCACAGGAATTAGCTAAAAGCCGTATTTTCTGTAGATAAAATTAATTACCTGTGGCCAAATCTCATGTCCAGTGTTTCTGTTCCTGTAATATTATTGTTGCTATTTTTATTTTAGTAAAACATAACTATCTTTTTATTCCCTGATGCTAAACACATATGTGCTAAATTATTTATATATCCATTTTAATATGTATTTTGCATCTGACAAAGCAACTCTCCACAGGACCCTTTTACTGACCTACCTGTCATTATTAAGGGGTAAACAATGTCACCTTTCTAGTACACAATGAATTACAAAGAATTTGCAAAGTGCATCATCCATCACACTGGCACTAAGTAGGTTTGCAGAGTAGATATCAGATATCTCAAATGCTCTTTAGACTGTTACCAGGAAGCACAAATTGGAAGCTTATACAAACAGTCCTATGATGAATGGGCATGACAGCTCTTCAAAGTAAAGGGGAGCTACTCCTCTGCAAATCACCTTGTCAAAATCAAAAGTTGTGGGGAGCTTCACTGGCAGCCCAAATAGAATAATTTAAAAACTTATTAATGTTACTGCCTCATAGAAATTCATGAACACAGAATGTACTCAAAATAAGAACAGACTTATATCTGAATCAGCAGCAGCCACTCAAGATTTATTCAACTTGGGGAATGGTCAGAGATACAAAAAAAATCATCTCTTCCCTATAATCTGTTCTGTATGAATTTCAATGTAACAACAAACCCATAGAACATAAATGTAGAGTGTATGCATATGTGCTGTATGCACATACAATAGCTAGGATTGTTTTTATTTTGAATATCCTAGTCATATCATTTTAGTTTTAAAATATTTCAGATACATATTTCTTCATGCATCTATTTAAGTACTATGGGTAATGAATTTGTTTTATTCACTATTAACATAGCTATTCTTAATGTTTTCTTTATAGTCACAAGACTAACTTTTTTTAAATTTAAAGTCTTCAAATAAGATTTGTTTTATTGTAACTGCATTTAGTTCCTTTGTTGGAGCTAAATATTTCAAAAAGGGACATTCTATATCTGCTCTCATCTTTGATTTTTCCTTTTTAGTAATTGGTTTGTTAATATTTTACAAACTTATTTACTAAAATTGGCAGCTTAAGTATATGTAAAATGATGAAATGATCTCAAGTAAACATTATAGACTTTGGTAAATTTCATAAATGTTCTGGAAAGATGAATTTATTATATGAAACAACAAAACTATTTCACACATATCACTGGTCAGAAAAAGATATGTACAATATTCTGAGATATCTGGAGTCAGGTCTATAAAATTTACAGTCTAACAGTATTCCAGTCATCATACAGGACCAGGTTAAAGGAATACAGCTTTTCAAGATTACCAGGAATAATAAATCATTAATATTTGCTGGGAGAAACTGAAAACCAAGCAGGTAGGAGTCCAAAGACTTACTAAATTCTTTGTGTTGTTTTGTTGTTGTACCTGGAGTTTGAGTATATTTGGGGGTGGGGAGCTGGGAAGGGATAATCAGAATGTACTAAATACAAACAGAAAAATTGAGGAAGGAGAAGATGTGTTCCTTGTAAATGTTTTGAGTCTAAGACAAAATAGATTGACTAATTTTTCATGCATTGACCTAAGCTCAGAGCTTCTTAGCCAAGGCAAAGGTGTTGACTGCTTTCTTTTGTCTTCACTGATATAAAAATATATTTCCATTATTTTCAGAAAAAGTATGTTTATCAAATCAAATGATGACTTCTATGCTAAAAGTATTGCATACATTTGACATTAAATTAAATCTAATTGGTATTAAAACTCTTTAAGTTTGCACTGGTTATATGCAATTCTGCTAAAAGGTGAGAAACAATACAAAATAGAATCCTTTTGACCATGTAGTATATATGCATTCCCTATACACCTCAGCAATCCCAAAATAAAAGTTAAATAAAAAAAATACATGTTTGCAATGTAACAAACCTTGGTTATTCTATTGTTTTAAGGGCTTTTACATAGTAGCTTTAAATTGCTTAAAAGTCCCATGTTTTCCTTGTAGTTTATTACAAATGGGACCTCCTAAAACTGAGAAGTTTCTGTAAGGCAAAGGACACAGTCAACAAGACAAAACGGCAGCCCACATAATGGAAAAAGATATTCCCCAACCCTACCTCTGAAAGATGTCTGATTTCCAAATATACAAAGAACCCAATAAGCTAGCCACCAAAATACCAGTAATCCAATTAAAACATGGGGTACAGAACTAAGTATAAAATTCTCAATACAGGCATCCAAAATGGCTGAAAGACACTTAAGAATGTGTTCAATATCCTTAGCCATCAGAGAAATGCAAATCAACACAACTCTGAGATACCATCTCACCTGTCAGAATGGCTAAAATCAAAAACACAAATTATAGTTTATGCTGGAGAATATGCAAAGAAAGGGGAACACTCCTCCACTGCTGGTGGAAGGGCAAACTTCTTCAGCCACTTTGGAAATCAGTATGGTGGTTCCTCAGGAAATTAAGAATCAGTCTATCTTAAAATCCAGGAATTCCACTCTTAGTCATATACCCAAAGAATGTACAAGTATACAACAAGGACATTTGTTCAACTATGTTCATATCAGTATTGTTTGTAATAGCCAGAACCTGGAAGCAACCTAGATGCCCCTCAACTGAAGAATGGTTAAAAAATATGGTAGATTTATACAATGGAGTATTACTCAGTGGAAAATGAACACTATGAAATCTTGAAATTCACAGGCAAATGAATGGAACTAGAGGAAGCCAATCTGAATGATGTAACCCAGTCACAAAAAGACAATACAGTATGTACTTACACATAAAAGGATATTAGACATAAAACAAAGCATTACCAGCCTACAATCCGCACCTCCAGAGAAGCTAGGAAACAAAGAGTACACTAAAAGAGACATATATGGCCTCCCAGAGAAGGGGAAAGGAACAAAATCTCCTGAGCAAATTGAGAGCATGTGGAGATGGGAGAGGGATTTAGGAGAAGGAGAAGAGGAAAAAAAAAAAGGAGGGAAGAAGAAGACAGGGACCAGGAGTATGGAGTTGATGGAAGAATAGAGGATTGCAAGAAAAGAGATAGCTTAATAGAAGGAGTCATTATAGGTTTAAAGAGAAATCTGACACTAGGGAAATGTCCAAAGATATAGTAGGATGACCCCAACAAGAATCTAAGCAATAGGGGACTGGCTATCTTAAATTCCCTTCCCCTATAATGAGACTGATGGCTACCTTGTATGCCATCCTAGCGCCTTCATTCAGTTACTGATGGAAGCAGAAGCAGAGATCTACATCTAAGCACTGAGCCAGAATCCTAGAATCCAGTCATAGAGAGGGAAGAGTGATAAGCAAAGGAGTCAAGACCATGTTGGGGAAACTCACAGAAACAACTGACCTGAACAAGGGAGATCTCCTGGACCCCAGACTGACAGCTTGGAAACCAGCATAGGATGGAACCAGGGCCCCTGCAAATGTGTGACAATTAGGAGGCCTGGGCTGTTTATGGGGCCCCTGGTAATGCAACAGAATTTATACCTAGTGTACGAATGGACTCTGGGAGCCCTCTTCTCATAGAAGGATACTCTCTCAGGCTAGACAGACAGGGGAGGGCCTACGCCCTGCCCCACATGATGTGACAGATTTTGGTGATCCCCCATTGAAGGCTTCACCCTTTCTATGAAGCAGAAGAGAGATGTGATGGGGCTTGGTGGGGGCATAGTCGAATGGGAGGGAGAGGGAACTGGGATTGATATATAAAATACAATTTTTTCTAATTTATATAAATTAAAAAGGGAACTGAAGAAGAAAAAAATACTAAAAATAAAATACAAAAAAAGATTTTAAATGTGTACATAAAAATAAAAATATATCACAACTTCATCTGCATTCAAATGGACAATTTACAATTTTAGAAAAGGACTAATATTCGAGTTAGAACAGCTACTATATAGAGAAAAATATACCATTTCTAACTTGTATACTGTGTGTACTCTGTGCCATGCATTGTTCCACAGGATTCACTTAGATTAGTTATTTTAATTTTTATGGTGGTCCTCAAGTGGAAGAATAGTGATGCTTTATACAAAGCTAAGAAGCTCAGCATCATATGACAGGAAGAGAACATTGGGTAACTACAGTGTGAGTTTAAATCACTCATTTGGGTCTAGAAATTTTGTTCTGAACTAGAATGCCAAAAGAAGTATCAAAGCTAGATAACCCTGAAAGGTGCAGGAATAATCCACACATGGCTCCCCTTCACACATTTGCCATCATGAATGCAGGAATGCTGCATTTCAAATCCAAATATGTGAATAATAACATCAATTTTCTTCTTCATTTCTTATGTGCATAAACAATCTCATAGAAATTCTTGCCATTTCTGTTTTCTCCTTATATATCAACATATTCAAATTTGCCTCTTCAATCTATAAATGAGATTCTCTTGAAATATATGGGCTGAGAAAAATGTGAATAACTCAGTTGCACCTTCAACACCTTTGAATTAAATTCGTCTAACATGTTTTCACTTTCAAAATTTGACAAGTAAAGATTCAGACACTTCCCCTCTTCCTTGATTGCTGGCACTGCTACACGGAATATATTTAATGGCTACTTTTGTATTCTGCACCTTGCCAGTTAGTTCAATTTAGATGAAAGCTGTTGTTTTCTAATTCCATTTCAGTGAAAATGACAGAGACAAATGGTCAAATTACCTGGAGAGTTCCTTTGGCAGAATAGGCTGCATATGATGAGAGAAGATCTTGGCTATGGTCTTTTCTGGCCTCTTCCCTACAAGGTTGGCCATCAGGAAAAAAGCATTGGCCAGTGCTACTCACAGTGATGGTGCCTGGAGATGGCCCAGGGAAATCCAGCAACACTGAGTAGTTCATGAGCTGTGTATCTTCTAAGCCCAATGCAGTCCAGTGAGTCTTAATCTTCTTTGAAATTTCCATGTCATCTTTACTTTTATAGAGTTGTACCAAATTTCTGAAAATAGTTAAAACGACATTTAAGAATAAAGGAAATCTTTGCAATTTAGATATATGCCTGTTCATATGTGAGCAATTATTAATAGATTTTATGGGCTGTTGAAAGACAAATGTGATAACATCTGACCTTAACAGATTTACAGAGTTGGTAGAACTGAGGTGAGTGAAAGGGATCATATTAAACCAAAGCAGGGTGGATTTATTTTTCTATTATGACTACAAGGAATTATGAATTCCAACTAGTGCTTTATGACTTGTGATTATTCTGTCAAGATTAACAAAATATGTTCATAATCAGTCCCCATACTAGATATGATGTTAATTGAGCTAGCTTTTATTATGGTTAATATGTTTACCTATAAGAATATTGAATAATCTACAATTCCTAATATTTAAAACACAGCTCTGTTCTGTCCCTCTACCACACTGAAAGTTTAAGTCTGGCTTTTAAATGCCCCTACAAGGCTCATTTGTTCGATTGCTTGTTTCTTAGAGGTACAGGATATTAAGAAACTTCAGGATTTTGGTGCCACTTATGATGGTTCTTAAAGGGGATCATCCTCATATTTTATGGCATAGCTCTTTGCTTCTTTATTGATCAAGAGATCTAAAAAAGCCATGTTTCAAATCTACCATAGAATCAAACCTTTGTGTCACCATGCCTTCCTCAACATAACTGACTCTATCCTCTGAAATTGTGAAACAAGATTAATTTCTATTTTGAATTGCTGTTGTCCCATATTTAATCACAGGGAGGGAAAGATATATAATGCATTAGCATTGAAATAACCCTTTCATTCCAATGTTGTGATTGTGGATGGCAATAAAATGGCATTAGTTTTTAATATTATTGCTCAGTTTTGAATGTCTGAATCAGTTCCCTCAAATTGGTACTTTGAAGTACAAAGTTCAAATCATGAAGTGGAAATTAGGGGGGCTGCTTAGATCACAGGTAAAAATTACTCATTAATGCTATTAGCACTCAAATTAAAGAGGTGAGATGGAAAATTACACATTTCTTACCATATAAAAGACAGAGCTAGAAGGAACCATCTGTATGGAAGCTGGTCCCTCCCAAAGATTGTAGAAACATAGATCTTTGATTTCTCAGGTCTAAAACTTAAAAAAACAAATTTCTAGTATTTGTAAATAGCCTGTTCCAGGGTATCTTGTTATAGCCACTTGGATGGACTATGATAAATATCAAATTATATATATATATATATATATATATGCCTAAATTATTCACTTCAATTACTTCTGCCACAGAGTAATGCTAATTTTTCTACCACCTGATTCCTCTAAGACATCATTAATTATGAAACATTTCATACATTTTGCTTTTTGGTAAAAGTTATGAAACAAGACCCCTCCCCCGCCTGAACTACTTGGATTGGCCCCTGATCCTGCTGCTCCTGTCTCCTGTCCCCATCGAGGGCACCCTTGGAGCTCTGATACACCCCCACCCATCCCCACCGCCAGTCTACCCCCCCTACCCTGTGCCCTACCCCACCTACGGTCCTGCCACTCTGGTTGAGCACTGGGACAGAGGGTGGAGCCAACAGTCCACCCTACTTCGGAGACTTCTCAGAACAAAGGAGACCTGACTATCCATGCAGGGCCACCTGTAATTTCCACCGGCTTGGTCTCTGACCCCGCCTCCGGGCCTCTGCTGGAGTCCCGGCCCCTCCCAGAGATCCGCCTATCTCTGCAGGTCCCAGAGTTCCGGGAGGCAAGATCCTTGAACCCCAAATCCGGGCCCCTGCCAAAGAACTAGGTCTCAGTGGGAGAGCACCAGTTTCCAGTGAGATCCCACTACCCTGCAAAACCTTCTCAAGTTCCAGCCTAGCCCTCGTCCTCTTCCACCGGGCATTGGCCAGAGCTATTGGCCAGAGCTATTGGCCAGAGGACCACTGTGAATACCTGCTGGTATCTTCTTCTGGATCCTCATCCTTGACCCCATCCCTGGATCCCTGTCTGCAGTGAAACCTCCTAGAGAGCTGAGACCACACAGAGCTACAGATATTGAATCTCAGATCCACATAAGCCCATAGGGGACGTACCATAGAGAGAGGGAAGAGACACCACCAAAACCTACTGGAAGAAGCTATGGGAAGAAGGCAATACAAGAGAACACCTAACAGAAAGACAAACATAACACCACCAGAATCTAGGGAATCTACACCAACTAGAATGGAACACAACAAAAAGCAGAGGAAGCAGAAGGGTACGACTTAAAAATCACCATCATAAAAATGATAGAGGCCCTCAAAGAAGACGTGAGAAAATCCCTTAAAGAAATGGAGGAAAAAACAAACAAAAAAGTGGAAGAAATGAACAAATTCCTTAAGGAAAGTACAGAAAGCCAAGAAAAAACAATTAACCAGGTGAAGGAAACGGTTCAAGACTTGAAAACTGAAATTGAGAAAATAAAGGCAACACAAACAGAAGGAAGGCTGGAAATTGAAAAGCTGGGCAAAAAATCAGAAACCACGGACACAAGCATAACCAATAGAATTCAAGAGATGGAAGAGAGAATCTCAGGCGCAGAAGATAAACTAGAAGAAATAGATTCATCGACCAAAAATCATAAATCCAACAAATCCTTAACACAAAACATCCAGGAAATGTGGGACACCATGAAAAGGCCAAACCTAAGAATAATAGGCATAGACGAAGGTGAGGAAGCCCAGCTCAAAGGTACTGAAAACATATTCAACAAAATCATTGAGGAAAACTTTCCAAATCTGAAGAAGGACATGCCCATGAAAGTACAAGAAGCATAACGAACCCCAAATAGGCTGGACCAAAGAATAAAGATCCCTCGACATATAATAATCAAAACACCTAGCATACAGAATAAAGAAAGAATATTAAGAGCAGCGAAGGAAAAAGGACAGGTAACATATAAAGGCAGACCTATCAAAATTACACCTGACTTCTCCATGGAAATCCTCAAGGCCAGAAGGTCCTGGATAGGTGTTCTAAAAGTATTAAGAGAACATGGATGCCAGCCTAGGCTACTATATCCAGCAAAACTCTCAATCAATATAGATGGAGAGAACAAGATATTTAATGACAAAACCAGATTTTCCCAATATGTATCTACAAATCCAGCCCTACAGAAAGTATTGGAAGGAAAACTCCAACCCAAGGAAGGTAACAATGCCCACAAAAATGTAGGCAACAGATAATCCAACTACACCAGAAACCTAGGGTGAAGCAGAACAAATATACTCACAATACCACTGCCAACAACAAACCTAAATCAAACGAGCATCAACAATCAATGGACCTTACTCACCCTCAACATTAATGGTCTTAACTCACCTTTAAAAAGACACAGGCTAACAGAATGGATACGAAGACAGAATCCATCCTTCTGCTGCATACAAGAAATACATCTTAGCTCCAAAGAAAGACATTACCTCAGGGTAAAGGGTTGGGAAAAGATTTTCCAATCAAATGGAAATAAGAAGCAAGCAGGCATAGCTATCCTAATATCTAACAAGTTAGACTTCAAACCAAAATTAGTCAAAAGAGATGAAGACGGTCATTTTATATTCATCTCAGGAGAAATCCATCAACACAAAGTCTCAATTCTGAACATCTATGCCCCTAATACAAAGTCACCCACATTCGTAAAAGAAACACTACTAAAACTCAAAGCTCATATAAAACCTCACACACTTATAGTTGGAGACTTCAATACACCACTCTCAACACTAGACAGGACCACAAATCAGAAACTCAACAAAGAAACAAAAGAATTAACAGAAGTTATGTCTCAACTGGGGTTAACAGACATCTATAGAACATTCCATCCAAAGACAAAAGAATATACCTTCTTCTCTGCTCCACATGGAACCTTCTCTAAAATCGACCACATACTAGGAGACATAACAAACCTCAACAAATACAAGAGAATAGGAATAGTCCCCTGTATCTTATCGGACCACCATGCTTTAAAATTGGAATTCAACAACAACACAAATACCAGAATACCTGCAAACTCATGGAAACTTAACAATGTGCAATTACACCACTCCTGGGTCAAAGAAGAAATAAAGAAAGAAATTAAAGATTTTCTAATATTCAGCGAGAATGAGGATACAACATACCCGAACTTATGGGATACCTTGAAAGCAGTGCTACGAGGGAAGTTCATTGCACTAAGTGTTCATATAAAGAAAACAGAAGATAGTCACATAAAAGAATTAACAACCCAACTGAAAACCTTAGAACAGAGAGAAGCGAATTCACACTGCAGGAGTAGATGCCAGGAAATAATCAACTTGAGGGCTGAAATCAACAAAATAGAAACCAGGAAAACAATACAAAAAATCAATGCAACAAAGAGTTGGTTTTTTGAGAAAATCAACAAGATAGACAAACCTTTATCCAAATTAACGAAAAAGCAGAGACAGAACATTCAAATTAACAAAATCAGAAACGAAATGGGGAACATAACAACAGACACAGAGGAAATCCAGACAATTTTCAGGTCATACTTTGAAAATCTGTATTCCACACAAATTGAAAATTCAAAGGAAATGGTCAAGTTTCTGGATAGCTATCACTTACCAAAATTAAATCAAGAACAGAGAAACAACTTAAATAGACCTATAACCCACAATGAAATAGAAGCAGTCATCGAAAGCCTTCCAACCAAAAAAAATCCAGGGCCAGATGGATTCAGCACAGAATTCTACCAGACATTCAAGGAAGAACTAATACCACTACTCCTCAAACTGTTCCACAAGATAGAAAGAGAAGGTTTATTGCCAAACTCTTTTTATGAGGCCACAATAACTTTGGTACCCAAACCTCACAAAGACACAACTAAGAAACAAAACTAAGACCAATATCCCTGATGAACATCGATGCAAAAATACTCAATAAAATACTGGCAAACCGAATTCAAGAATACATCAGAGAAATCATCCACCATGATCAAGTAGGCTTCATCCCTGGATTGCAGGGATGGTTCAACATTCG